AAATAGAAACTGATACATACATCTGTAAACACTTTCTTAATGCGATCCTCTGAGAATAATTAGTTGAAATTATATTACTGTATGTCTGTTAGGTTGCTTTGCTATATTTGAAAATAGAAAGACTCTTACTTAGCGCATTTGGGCTGCTATAACAAAATGCTATAGACAAAGTGGCTTATAAATAACAGAAATTTATTTCTCACTGTTCTGGATGCTGGAACTCTGATATCAGAGTGCCAGCATTGTTGGGTTCTGGAGAGGTTGCTGTACCAGGTTGCAGCCTGCCATCTACTCCTCGCTGTATCTTCACATGGTGGAAAGACAGTGAGAGAGCTCTCTGGGCTCTCTTTCACTAGTTTACTAATTCTATTCTTGAGAACTCTACCCTCATAACTTAACCACTTCCCAAGGGCCCCACCTCCTAATATCACCATGTTGGAGGTCAAAATTTCAACTTATGAATTTGATAGGCTGGGTGGACCTGAACATTCAATCCAAATAATAGAAAGCAATAATCATTTATTGAGCTTTCTATTGTGGCAGTTTTCATTCTGCAAGTAGTCTCCTAAGAAGCATTTAGTTCACTTCTGCTCACTTTGCAAGTATTCTACAAGATTGCATGAAGTGAAGAAGATGTTAAGGCCAGAAAATGTAAGGCATTGCTCCAGACCTTGACGCAACATCTTGTCCTCACTTGTCACCATCTCCTAATCCTGCAGGAAATATTGGCCACCTCCGTAAGCTAATCAATATAGTCACTTTTTCTGTGGGAAAAATAAAAGGCTGTGCCAACAAATTATCTCCCAGCTGCAGGTGATAAGAAAGCTTCTTTGCCTTGGCATTTGCTTATCATTGGCCAATAGGAACTGACATTTCATTATACACTAGACTATCCAACATTCTACTCCCTCCCATTTCCCACTTCATCACCTGTTGTCTAATTACTTTAAATTCTACCTCTTTAAAATGCTGGCTTAAGAATTAAAGTAATCTCTCAAATAATTACAGTCACTACTTTGATTAAATATCAGAAGAGACTGGGGGAAAAAATGACTCTTCATTACAGTGGAGCAACATCTATCATAAATCCAGAATCTTGGTAATTTAACATTAATAAGAATTTTCTATTGCTTGTCTCACAATTTGGAGGAGGCACAAGCAATGTTTACAGCAACCCAGTTTTCAGCATCCCGGTCCCCATCCATTCTACCATCTGCTAGGGCCTCAGAGTCCTCCTCCGTATCTTCTGCAATTACTAAGGCTCTGAAGGAAAAATATGTCATAAATAAGGTAGAGAAAGAAGTCCACTTGTAACTTCTTTGGCCTAGAAGTGATGCACATCACTTCCATTTGCATTCCACTGGCAAGAAACAATTACATAGTCACATCTAAACACAAAGGAGCTGGGAATTATAACTTGGCTCTGTGCCCAGGAGGAAGTGAACATGGAAATTGCTGAGTCCTAGCTCTGTATCCCCTACAATAGAACAAGATGAACTCCATGAATGATCCATAAATTTTGGTTATCATTGTTAGTAATTCACCTTTATCATGGATTTGGAAATATGTAGTTCCCATTACTACTGTTGCATAACAAAGCTTAGCACCATAAAGCAATTGTTTTATTAAGCTTTTGGATTTTATGGGCAGCAAATTCAAAGTAAGGCACAGAGTAAAGTAAGGCACAAAGTAAGGCACAGATAGTTTGTTTCTGCTCTGTGATGGGTGGTGTCTTGTCTTGCTGTTGATGATTCAACAGCAAAGGGCTGGAATCATGTAGAGGACTCTTTATTCACAGGGCTGGCAGCTGATGTTGGCCATCAGTTAAAACCCCAAGTAAAGCTATTTACCCAATGCATGACATCTCAGGTGCTTGGACTTTTTCACCATGGGGTAGCATCAGAGAGTCACATTTCTCACATGGAAGCCCAGAGTTTCAAAAACAAATTCCCCAGTGGACAGGCTATGTGTCCTTTTATGACCCAGCTTCAGCCACTTCTGCTGTGCTCTACTGGTCTTAGAATTCCTAAGTCCACCCTAATTCAAAGTGAGGAGACATAGACCCAAATCCTAATGGGAAGTTGGTTACCAAGGTCACATTGCAGATGGGTGTGTGCAATGGGAGATACTGTGATGTCTAATTTTGGAAAATATAATCTCCCACATACATTATCTTAGAATCACTGAATGTCAGTGCTCGAAAGGACTTAGTACTTTATAGAACAAGAGTGAGCAAATAATAGCCCACTGCCAGTTTTTGTAAACAAGGTTTAACTGAAATACAGCCATGCCTATTTGTTAGCAAATGTGAGTAGTTGCAAAAGATACCATATGATGTACAAAGGCAAAAGTTTTCATTATCTGGCCCTTTACAGAAAGAGTTTGCATCATCCGTAGATAGAATATCAATTAAACATGTGGGCCATGAAGGTAAGCTACTAGGTTTTTTAATCTCAGTTCTGAAAGTGGCCAGTTATGTGGCTTTGAACAAGTTACTCAACTTCTCTAGGCTGCCATTTTCCCACTTTCATAATTGGGGAAACAGTAAAGTCTGTCATGGAATTGTGAGCATTACATGAAATAGTCAATGAAAAGGACATAATAAGCATTCATAAATGCTAACTTGTGGTGTAGAATTACCTTTAAGTATCAGCTAGGTCAAGTGTCTATTCAAATTATATGCTCCAGGGTCATCTGCTGCAGATTTCAACTTCTCTAGTGATACAAGAAGTCCATTCTATCTTTAATAATTTTATTAGAAATTTCTTCCCCCAGGTTGAAGTCTGCCCCCTTATAGCTGTATGCAATTAACCCATCGTAGCTCCTAAAGGCTCTACAAAACATCTCTTCCGAATATTAGGTTCTTTGAAAAGGGTATCTCTGAATTTATATTATCAGAACTACACATCTTTAGTTCTTTCAATTGCCTCTCCTAAGACTGAGTTTAGTTTGCATCACTTTTCCACTTTAAAATTCCCCTTAGAAGGAAATATAAAGCATTTATCCAGAAATTAGCAAAAGACTTCAGGCCTGTAATAGATCTAGATCATTGGTCCCTAAATTCTCCATAGTACTTTAACGATGTGTGTTTTGTGCTACTCAGTCTTTTTCCACCCTTCCTGCTGTAGAAGAGTTGATAGCTTAAGATCCTGGGGCAGATGCTTCTTGTTGCCTTTTTATGTTCAATCTTGTATAGCTCCAACCTGTGGAAATCTTTCCAGATATTGATAATGTAGTTTAGACTGTCCACTACCCTGACCAGCTTTATATCACACACACACACACACACACACACACACACATTTCTGAAGGCTTGATCCAAATCATTGGCAAATATCCCATCAAGTTGAAATTAACACTATGAGTAATCCTGAACTCAATTCCAGCAACTGAATGTTACTTTAATTTACTTTAATAATTGTATTTCTTCCTTCTTGGATTTCCATTGATCTTAGTCACTATTTGTTCAATCATTCTCACTTGGGGTGTCATTCCTCTTAGTGAAAGAAGTTGGAAGCAAATATAAAGGAAAACATAAGCATTTCTGTTTCTCTCTTTCAATACTACACTTTAAATCAAGATATGTGTCTGTATTACTCAGGGGTCTCCAGAGAAACAAAACCAAGAGGAGAAAGAGATTGATTTTAAGGAATTGGCTCACATGATTGTGGAAGCTCAGTAAGTCCACAATCTTCAGGGCAGGTGAGCAAGATGGAGACCCAGTGATTCTGCTCATAGAATTCCTTCTTGCTCAGCGGAGGTCAGTCTTTGTTCTATTAACACCTTCATCCAATTGGATGAGGCCCATCCACACTATGGAAGGTTATTCACTTTACTCAAAGTCCATTGATTTCCAGTGTTAATCGAATGCAAAAAACACCTTCACAGAAAGATCCAGAATAGTGTTTGACCAAATATCTGGGTGCCGTGGTCCAGCCAAGTTAAGTCGTAAAATTAACCATCAGAGTATCTCTCTTTATAATCTTTTTACTTGCAATAGAAATAGCTAAGACTATAGCCTATGTGAAATCTGGATTTATGTTTTGGTAATTAGTTATCTTATAATAGATGGTCTGTTGTATAAAACCACAATTAAGTGTGTGTCTGTCTGAGAAGGTAGCCATGGTAAGGTATAACAATGACTTTTGTTACTAAATATAAAAGTACAGCATCTTAACTGGTTATTATCTGTACCTAAGAAAAAGATCAGCAGGGGGTGGGTTTGGGAAGAAGTGTGAATGCAACTTTGATTTTTAAGGTTAGCATTGCTCTAAGTTTCAGAATACAACTTTAAAAGTATGGCTATGTTTATGTTCTTTAAAGCATTCACCTATTTTTAAAATTTCACTTTTTGTATTTTAAATTTTTAAATTCACATTTTAATTTCAAATGTTTCTTCACATGATTTTACAAGATTATTGAAACAAATGTCTATATAAATAAGACGTCTAAGCATGAAATGCTGGTTCAAAACAATATTTGTAACAAAATGCTACTAGAATTTTTTTTAAACCAGCATGTTATCTGTGGAAACAAGATTTTATTGTACTAGTATTTTAGTTTTGGTTTGGTTTTGTTGAGACAGGGTCTTGCTCTGCTGCCCCGGCTGGAGTGCAGTGATACAAACACAGCTCACTGCAGCAAGCCATCCTCCCACCTCAGCCTCTCAAGTAGCTGGGACTACAGGCACACACCACCACACCCAGCTAAGTTTTGTATTTTTTGTACAGATGAGGTTTTGTCATGTTGCCCAGGCTGGTCGTGAACTCCTGGACTCAAGCGATCCTCACTCCTGGGCCTCCCAAAGTACTGAGATTACAGGCATGCGCCATTGCACTCAGCTGTATTTCAGTTCTAAACTTTTATGAATCTAGGTTTTTTTTAAAATGTGGCTTTATTTTTTGGTTAGCCATTTATAATAAGTAGAAATTCTTGATTTAAAGACTTTTAGAGATGTTAAGATGGTTTATAAGTCTTTTGTTCTATTTTTCCCTTTTCAGGTTTGGATGTGTGGAGGAGAGATGTTTGATGTTCCATGTTCTAGAGTTGGTCATATCTACAGGAAGTATGTTCCATACAAAGTTCCATCTGGGACCAGCCTGGCAAGAGTGAGTAACTCAGCATCAGAACAGACTCAGACTGGGTTCGATACAGCTTTCTGTAAACAGAGTAACTAGCCTCACCCATGGTATATGTAATCTCTGTAAGCAAAGTAACCAGCCTCACCCGTGGCATGTGTAATTTAAGGCACAGTCTGAAAGAAGCTCTCCAGTGTAGAAAGAGCTCCAGTGTTTCTCACAGTCTTACTTCCATTGCTGAAAAAAGTATTAACTATTATGCTATTTCCTGTTGCGATTGTTTCAAAGCAGTTTCACATACATTATATTTAATCTTCATCATTACCTTCCAAGGTCTGTGTTCTTTATTTCACAGATGAAAAAATGAAGTCTGAACTAGATGGTTGTTCGTGCTCACATGAATGCCAAATAGCAGAGTAGGTCAGCAGCCCTGCAGCAGCCAGCTCCCTCCACCCACGTGGAGTGTAACAGGATGTGTAATAAGTCAGATGGAGACAGGGGTAAATGGGAGATGGGAAAAGCTGGATACCCAAACTGTGACTTCTTCTCTTTAATAATTAGAGCCAGCTCTGCCTCAAATTCTACCCCATCCTCAACATTTCAAAGTTGGCTCAGTCTAAAATTGTTTTTCCAATATTGTTTTGAATTAAACCTTTCTTGTAAACCAGATGCAAAGATGCTTTTCTCTTCTGCCATTTGAAACATTTTCACGCATTTTTAGGAGAATGGATTCATAATACCATCTCGAAACAACACTGACAATTTCTCTGGTTTCCATACTACTTTCTTCAGGGCTGGGTCAGTTTTCATCACCACAATATGTACCTGCTACTGCTCAGAATCCAAATCTAGAAAAAGAAGATTTTCCCACATCTCTTTGCACACTGCTACCCTAGAAATCAACTGCTGAATTATTCATTTTGCTTCTTTTACAAATAAGGCTGCAACATATAACTATTTGGATCTTTTATATAAGGCTTACATAACGAGCTTTTGTAAAAATAAATAAACGAATTCACCAGGAATCATTAGCATATCAGTAGCACAAAGGTAGAGCTTTGGTCTGTGTTAGTTACTGCTCTACTCCCAGGACCTAAAACAGGGCTTAGGGAACACTCAAATACTTGTTGAAAGAATTAACTAATCAGGAAAGCTAAGAGAGGAAAATGCTTCAGATTTAAGTTGTTACTAAAACTTAAATACTTTGCTATGAGTATAACAAAATTTTCTTTTATAGTGAATATTCATCAACTCTCCATTTTTCTTTAGTCACACCCATATTCCCTAACAGCAATTAGATCTCCTGGTAATAACATTACGTTACACACACCCTGAAGAGAAGAAATACAGGCTGAGTATCCCTTATCCAAAATGCTTGGGACCAGGAGTGTTTCAGATCTTCAGATTTTTTTCCAGATTTTGGGATATTCACATATACATAATGAGATGTCATGGGGATGAAACCCAAAATTTATTTATGTTTCATATACAACCTATATACATGGCCTGACAGTAATTTTATACAATATTTTTAATAATTTTGTGCATGAAACCACAATTGTGTTAGTTTGATATTCTTATATTTGTAGAATTTTCTACTTGTCACATCATGTTAGCACTCAAAGAATTTTGGATTGTGGAGCATTTTGAATTTTGTATTTTCAGATTAGGAATGTTCAACCTGTCATATTCCTCCTTCCCTAACTAAATTAAAAGTTTAATTCAATGCTAATAACATAGTCCTCTAAGTATCTGTAGAAATATACTACTTGAAATGAAAAAACAGTCACAAAATCATAAAGTAATTAAAGAGCTACATCTTGGGTAAGGAAATATGGTTTGATTTAGTCATAAGACTTAAGACACATGAATCAGAAAATGAGATTTCACAGGGAAATAAATGATTAAACAATTTAGAGCACATGTCACCAATCAGCCAAGTAGATATAATGAATCGTAGCAGTTTAAAATATCATAAAGATAACGATAGTCTCTCATGTATCCACTTCTATTCACTCATAGTCTCTCATGTATCCACTTCTACTCACTCATATGCTCCCCTACTTGTGCTCTGAAAAGAACCATTCACTTGTAAGAAAATGGGTGTGTGTGTGCTTGGTTCATAGTCAAAAGTAAAGTGTAAAAGCTTGCGGGGTGGGGGCGGGGAACATTGTGCTGATCCAAAAGGACCTATTTTCAAAAAATAAAACTGTTCGTATACTTTCAAGAAAGAAATGAAGTATTTTTTCAAGGACTGTCAAATGTAGAGAAACTGGGGTTGGCACATAAAACTACCAGGAAAAAGTGAATATTTATTCAAATGAAAAAAGTCCATAATTCTGAATTTTAATCTTTTCCACTCAAATTTTACTTCAGTGTTCATTTTTATTTTTTTTCTAAACTGCTAGAGCAATCAGAAAGTCATAAATATTGAAGCTTGCCTGTCACTCTGAGGAACATTTTATGGTTTTTTTTTTTAAGTTTAAAAAAAGTACATTAAAATGAAAAACAATTCTGATATTTTGTGAGAGCAGCTCAACTTCCTTGCTACACACTACATTATTACATATCATCAAAAATGATGAGAGACTTTATATATGCTTCAAATGCAGGGCCACGTCTACTCGATTGGTATTTTTATCTTTCAGCCTCATCAGGAAATGGAGATGAAGGTGGAGACTTTACTCCAAAGGCTTGTTTTCTTACTCTACGAAACTCATTAATTCTTCAAAAATGTGCACTTTTCATATTGATGATTCCAATTCATGATTCCAAAAGACTTCTCAATTCTATAAACACACAGAGAGACACACAAATGTGTGAACGGCCTTAAACAGCATACTGTTGGTACATAACATAGAGATACATTTTTAAAATTAGTTATTTAGTGCCTTCTATTTTCCCAGAATTAGAATCTGGTTGGAAAAGACAAGATATCCATATATGAAACCATTAGAGAACAGTACAAGACAAGCAATTGCTTCAATGTATCATAAAGATACCTATAGGTAGAGGGAAGGGAGGAAGTAGCGCTATGGCTGTGACCGTCTTCAGTCCTCTCAAATTACAGGACTTGAAAGAGAACCTTCAAGAATATGTCCACTGATTTAGCACGTTTCATATACAGTGGTTCCCAAACTCAAGGTGAACAACGGGAGCCAATTCCTAGCCAACATTTCACCCAGCCTCTGTGAACTAAGAAATACAATAATCCCAAAACTAAACCTGTTCAACTTAATAACATCTTTTTTATATAGAAACTGTAAGGATTTTTTTTTCATTTTTTATGACAGAATGCAAGACAGTAAATTTTTGTTAGTGCCTTTATTTGGCAAAAACAAAAATTAGCATCACTACGTCGTTTCCTACAAAATGTAAAGTTAGGACACCGGAACGTACATTTCAGCTTCATCTGGAAATCAGAGTATTCACTCGTCATTAATAGCCTAGACAGTGTTACTGGGTCAGCTCAGGGCTAATGTCAGTACACGGGGACACTGTTGTGGGGTCTTGTCACCAGGAGCAAGCAGCAAGTCCCTGAGGGAAGGGATGCCCACGTCTAGAGTTGCAGGGAGACTGGAAAGACATCAGGGCTGTGGTGACAGTCATCCCTTTTTCATCCTTTTTTTGCTCACAGAAGTGTGAGCAGCTCCTCAGCAAAGGTCCACTGACTGGCGCTTTGCACAGCCAGAGGAGGCTGAGTGGCAAATAGGTGGGAGAATCTCAAAGAAGAGATTCTTTTCTTCATTCTGACAGGTTTCAATGTGAGCCAAGCACTCTGCTAAAGGAGCCATTATTACTGGCACTTGTGGGGTCGGTTCACAAATCCCTCTGTGAATGGCAGTGTGTTTGGGGACCGTTCAAGCCACTGGTCTGTGACAGGTGGCTGTGATAGCTGGGACATGTCAGAGGTGGAGAGCAGTCACCCTGTGGCTAAGCATACCACCTGATTGCCACACACCAGTGGTCTTCATGGGCACAACTTAGCCCGTGAGAGTTTCCCCAGAGGGTCACTATGCAGAGCGCTGCCCTGCAGAGTGTGAGTGGGGCAGTCCTGGAAGTGCAGACAGCCATCCTCACCAATAGGAGACAAGGTTAGAACCAACCCTTACCCCAAGTCTATAAGAAACACCGGAGAGGCTGGGTGCAGTGGCTCACACCTGTAATCCCAGCACTTTGGGAGGCCGAGGCAGGTGGATCACAAAGTCAGTAGATTGAGACCGTCCTAGCTAACATGGTGAAACCCCATCTCTGCTAAAAGTACAAAAATCAGCCAGATGTGGTGGCATGAGCTTGTGGTCCCAGCTACTCAGGAAGCTGAGGCAGGAGAATTGCTTGAATCCAGGAGTTGGAGATTGCAGTGAGCCAGGATTGCACCACTGTACAACAGAGTTAGACTCCATCTCAAAGAAAGAAAGAGAGAGAGAGAAGAAAGAAGAAAGAAAGAAAGAGAAAGAAAGAAAGAAAAGAAAGAAAGAAAGAAAGAGAAGAAAGAAAGAAAGAAAGAAGAAAGAAGGAAGGAAGGAAGGAAGGAAGGAAGGAAGGAAGGAAGGAAGGAAGGAAGGAAGGAAGGAAGGAAGGAAGGAAGGAAGGAAGACCTGAGAATATAAATCAGGGGATTGTATACTTCTGTATTTCACCTCTGACATAGTATCAGTAAATTTTTCATTCTAAAATTTCATCATGCATTTTATGGGAACAATTCAAGAACATGGGAGACTTTACATTTTTCTCTAGTTTCAGGATAGGAACTAAAACGGAAGTCAAACCTCATAAAAGTCAAATTCCACAGGCTGCTTCCCAGGTCCTGAAAATGTTAACTTAGAGTAACAGGGATAGAGGTTAAATGGTAAAGGAGTAGAGCTGGAACTATGAACTGAGTTCTGTCTGTTCAAGGTTCGTGCTCTTCACCATAGCATCCCTCCTAGAGTGCTTGAGATAAACTGGAGCAGCCTGGGCATCTCTGGCAGGGCATCAGTTTAGCACAGTACCAAGCAAAAATGAGCAGGCAGAGATTTACAGAGGGTGTG